GTGCTCTCTTGGGCTAGTGGTATAGGAATATATACCAGGAAGAGTACGAGTGGGGAAAGGACTTATAATAAATTATAAAGACTCAAAGATAAAGCCTACACCAACACATTGTCAGTGACAAAGTAGAGAGATTGAAAAAAAGGTGTGTCATGTATTTATATAGTGTATATATTAAAATAATATATAAACACATAATATCAATATATGAAGTCAAGAGATATATGTATTAGTCTTTATCAGTGGGACTCTTTAAGATTTAATTGCCTCTCAGTGTCTCCCGTGTCCTCATCAGTTCCGTGAGGGTGTACAGAGGTGGAGAGAGACAGTGTCAGAGAGGTACCTGTAGGTCTTTTCTCAGAAGGAAGGCACCATGCAAGTTGAGAAGGCCTAGGCATGTTATTTTTGTAAAGCACTTTTTTGTTTAGAAGAAAAATATCTTTGCAAATGGCAGTATTTGCCACAGAAATGTCCACAAATAAACAAACACCTCGTGAGGAATAAAAGGGCTTGTAAGAGGTTGTGTTTAATTCTAAAGACCGTCTGGTGGTGGTTGTGCCAACGTGTGTGGCTGAGTCCCTTGGAGGATCTTGGAACAGGAATGATCCCCTCATACCTTGGAAGTCTCCTTGGAAAATGAAGACAGTGAGCAATGAATTCATGGGGGGATTTAGCTTTACTATGGTTGTTACTATTTATGAACCAGTTCAGAGATAATAATATGAAAACTCTCAATGCTATCCTTTTCAAAGAAATATTTTGCAAGAGAATACATATGAAAAATGAAGTAATTTTGAGGTTTTTAGGTATTACTGTTATAATAATTAAACTCATGGTTATGAGTTTAAGTATTCACTGATTTAAATATTCATCATTGAATAGCTTAACTGATTATGCCTTACATGAACTACATATGAAACTTGGGGCGCCTGGGTGGCTCAGTCGTTAGGCATCTGCCCTCTGCTCAGGTCCTGGTCCCAGGGTGCTGGGGCTTAGGGTTCCCTGCTCAGCGGGGACCCTGCTTCTCCCTCTCTCTCTGCCCCTCCCCCTGCTTGTGCTCGCTCTCTCCGTCAAATAAATAAAATCTGAAAAAAAAAAACTACATATGAAACTAAATGTTTGCAAGAGTTAATTTTGAATGTAATGAGCTACATCATCATTATTAGGAACTAGGATTAACCGTCATCAAAGAGGATCCAGAGATTGTTCCTGGCACATCTGGGCTCCTAGCGACGTGGAGCGGGGCAGGGCTGACCAGGTGTTCCCCAGGTGGCTCAGGTGCCTTCCAGGTAGAGGTGAGGGCAAAGGCGCCCTAGCGGTGCAGG